AGTAGAAGGCAATTCTGCTCCTGGGGGGATACTGTCTCCTAATTCCCAGACCACCAGGCTCTCCTCGCATCCAGGTGAAGAGCACCGGCTCTGGAGCCAGGCGCAGCTGTGTTTGAGGTCTGCCTCTGATTCTTACTGGCTGCGTGAGCTTGGGAAAGTGACAACTTCTCTGAACACCAGTTTGCCTTCACACCAAATTAAAATAACTGTAGCTCCAGCCTCAGAGCTTGTGGTGATCATTAAGTAATCTCTGGAAGTACTTAGTTCATAGTAAGCACTCAATACGTGTTAAACCTACCTGACGCTGTGGCACCAGCTGCCTGGCCTGAAAGAAAGGCAGGAGAGACTCCCAAATAGCTGCACCACTTTCAGGACAGACCCTGCGTTCTTGGTCTTCTGAGAACCAAGGCCAGTGGGCTTGGGGTCCTGGCGGCTTCTACAAAGAACGAGCACATGTCCAAGGGTCCTTTGGGGCCCGCAGCGAACTGGAAGGAAACAGATGGTGCTTGAACGTTACAGTACTTCTGCCCCCGCAGAACCTCAAAGAAGCACTGAGTTGAAAGGTCAATTCCACAGAGTTTTCACCACAGCCCCTGAGAGGAGACTCCCAGACAGGTTAGCAGACAAGCAGCTTAGGCCTGTCTCCTCCCGGGCTGGAGGGAAGCAGCGGGCAGTGGACAAAGTCTGTGTGCAGGGCAGGGGCTGAGCTAAGCCTTCCACAGGACACGGCTTGCACCCCCGCTGATGCGCTGGCTGACACGGCCCCTCCTGATTGCGGTCCTGTGTCCCCACGTCCCTCCAGCGAGAAGACTCGGATGAGCTTGTTCAACAGCAGGCCTCACACTGCTCATTTCCAGGGGTATGAGAGCCTGAGATTTATCACATGGACCAGGGTCCGAATCTCTGCGCTGCCCCCCTTCCCTTTTACCTGAGAGATCTTCATATGTTTCCTAAACCTCCATAGTTTCTCGATCAGCCAAAGGGACACAACAGCAGCACACCCGCCCCGCAGGGTCGTTGTGAAGATTACGTGAGATAAGAGTGTGCTGGCGTGCCCCCATGCCTGGTGCAGAGCAGGGCTCAGCAAATGCGCCTGCTCTGCTGCAGCCCCTCTTCCCTCTCCTCAAGCTCTCCTCCCTTCCCAGCCTCGTGCCTCGTCTGTCTCTCCACCAGATCCACCAGGACCACTAAGGAGCACCTTAAAACCCTAAAACCCCCACTTGCATGGCTTGAGCATTTCAGGAAATCTGAAAATTTATTTTTCTGACTCTCATGTTCTAGATAGGCTGCTGGCCTTACACTGAACCACGTTACTGTGGTTCTAATGGTGGCTGCCTAAGGGCCGTATCATAGCAGCCTGGGTTCAGCTTGGCTCAGGTGTCAATAGGACCAATCATGGCGGATGGCGGGGGGCGGGGTATCACGGAACAACATGGCGGGTCTCTTGGGCCCCGTCATTGGAGGAGCTGGTTTCTGCAACGGAGGACTGGGCTGACAATGTGTTCACTACACATGAAGATAAGCATAAGGACAAAAAAAATCACCTAATATTCCCTCACCCACCAGAAGATGACTGTTAATATTTTCCAGGTAGTATTTCTTGATTTTTTTCCCTTGTAATTTTATCTATTAGAATAAATGGGATTATTATATAGTCCTATATTATACATATATATTCTTCTTGAGGCATGCTTCCCCCAGCCCCCCACGTAACTTGGAAATTGAGATGTTCTAATTCAGGGTTTTGGGGGCATTGGAGTTAGGTCGTTGAGGGTGAGCACGTAAACCAGTGGTTTGGAGACCTCTTTGCATGAGTTCATGTCTACATTCCTTTGGCTCCAGTCTCACCTCCTCCATGCAGCCTTCCCGGGCTCTCCAACATACAGGAAGCCCTCTTCTCAGACCCTTTATTGGTGTTGCGGCACATATCTTCACTGTAGAGCCCAGTTGTAGGAAGCTAATAAGTGCATAAGTCCATCCATAGCAGGGCACACAGAACTAACGCTGGGAGGGAAGTCCTCTTCCCTCCGTCCCTTCCTTCCTCCCTCCTTGTCTTCCTTCCCTCCGTCTCTCAGAGGAAGAGAATCAAAAGAGGGGCAAGACCGGGCTGGCCCCGTGGCTTATCAGTTAAGTGCGCGCGCTCCGCTGCTGGCGGCCCGCGTCCGGATCCCGGGCGTGCACCGACGCACCACTTCTCCTGCCATGCTGAGGCTGCGTCCCACATACAGCAACTAGAAGGATGTGCAACTATGACGTACAACTATCTACTGGGGCTTTGGGGGGAAAAGTAAATAAATAAAATTATAAAAAAAAAAAAAAAAAAGAGGGGCAAGACACAGCCAGTGGAAGCTGACCGGGGACACCCCCTTCGTGACCCGGGTCCCGCGCTCCATCAGTGCACCCCGGGGTACCTCTTGCGCCTCCCTTCCCGTGAGCTCCTGGGGCTGCTACCAGGAACTCCCCACGTCACAGACGAGGGTGGGCAGGTCTTCCTGCTGTCAGAGCCCTGCAGACATTCTTTTACTGCTGTGCCTGTTAAATCCGGGGCTGAAGAAGAATGGAGACTTGAGTGTTGTGGACCTTGGCTCTAAACTGCCACGTCTCTCCCGGGCTGGGCTGGTGTCTCTTTGGGCCCCTTCACCCCCAGCGTCTTGCCCACAGCGCACCCCGGACAGACCTGCTGCAGGGAAGGGGTGGGGCTTGAAGAGCAGGCAGTGAGATTATCAATGGAGAGGGTGGGATTTTAGGGTCAGTTTGGGCAAATTTGGTGGCAATGGGATCTAGAGTGACAAAAAATCCTGGTCTGGGCTTCAGGGACCTGCATTTTACTTCTGCCTCTGACCCCATCTCTGGGTGATATTTGTGGAGTCCCTGCCTCTCCCAGCCTCAGGTTTCCTTTCTGTGCAGCAAGGAGTCAGCCTATTCTGAGTTTCCTAAGGCTTTTTATGGTCTGACACTGTATCCCTTCCCTTTAGCTCCCTCAGCCACCAGCGCATCTGCCTCTACTGCCAGGAGAAGTCTGCTCCCTGTAGGAAGGGATTCCCCAGGAAAGACTCTGAGGGGTTTCTAGGAGGCCCTGCTTTTTCTTTTCGCAGTTTCCCTGATTTTGCTGTCTCATGGTGAGTCCTGGGCGCCCCAGGGCTCAGTGCAGCGGATAAAAATTTCAGCCATGGCACCCACGGATCTGCGTTGGAATCTTGGCTGTGTGTCCTTGATCAAGCTACAGAATCTCTCCAGGCCCCAGTTTTCTCGCCTATAAAATGGAGATCAATAGTATGGACTGCATTGGTTTATTTTGAGGATTAAATGCAATAAAGCAGGTCAAGTCCTAACACAGTGCCTGGCACAGAGTAAGCTTGCAGTGATCATCATCATCATCATCATCATCATCATTGTTGTTATTGCTGTTATTTACCACCTGCCCTCTGTCACTTCAGGGAAAGAGAGCCCCCACCCGATTCAGAGCCCGCAGTTTAGCATGGCCTGTGTAGGTGGCCAAGGGGCCCCAGCTTGAGCCCTCTGTATGCACACCCGAGAAGGAGACTCCAACTAGAAGACCTCCAGCTTCCGCACACGACTCCCCCAGCACGCATTGTGTGAGGACCCCAGTGAATCGCCGGTGTACATACTCGTGGGCCGTTGTGAGGAGAGCTCCCAGCTGCACAATACTTGACCCAGAGCCGGCCCACAGCTTTCAGTGAGTTGTAGCCAACAGTACTGTTGTCATTGCCACTAGGATTAGCCACATCTGAGGCTGTACTGCAGCATGATGAGGTGCAGGAGTCAGAAGACCTGGGCATGGACTGGCTGTGGACTTCAGGCAAATCGCTCAACCACCCTGACCCTCAGTTTTCTCCTCTGTATAATGGGACAATACCACCTTCACAGGGTTGTTAGGGGGATTAAATGATCACAGCACAGTTATAAGGATTGCATGAGCTATAAAGACTGGGATATGCCCAGTCCATGGTTTGTGTTCAATATAGATGGGTTCCTTCCATGCTCCTACCCCATTCCCCAGGCACCTCTCTTTTCACTGGTACCCTTTGTCCTGTCTCCACACTGGTGTGGAGGAGGGAAAGAGCTTTGATAACCATTCTTTCTCTGCCTCCTGTTCCAAAAGCCATCAGCTCCAGGCTGTACTTGGCCCCATGTTGAGTTGCCCAGCAGATGAGAGACAGAACTCACAAGAAAGGCCACATGCAGTCTTTTTTTTTTTTTAATTAAAAAGAAAATAAGAAAAAAAACAAAAAACACTTCCCAGGGTGTGCTGTGATGGAACATCACAGGCGTATAAAGTACACAGAAAAACGAGACACAAGTCCCAGGAGCTGCACATGTGGACCCCTGTGCGGCGGGCTGCAGGCCCCTTCCTGGAGGCCTTGTTTTCTCAGACAGTCACCTCTCCCTGGCCATAAGAAAGGAAGTGCTTATTCAGCCTTGTTTCTCTTGGAAGACTCAGCCATCTCCAGCTCACTGGTCCATGACGTGCACACAGGAAATTGGGCTTTACAAGATTTTTGCAGAAGGGCAGTGCCGGGGTAGGGGGGTTTGGGGCGCATACCACTCCTCTCCCTGCCCTGCTCGAGGGCCCCAGGGCTGGGGAAGTGATGTCGCTCTGTGGGGAGAGGCTGGACATTGCCCTGCAGGGGCATGGGGCTGGGCTTCTGGAAGTAAGCCCACTGGTAGCTTCCCTCCTTGAGTGGAAGCAAAGGGAGTGTCTGCAGGTAAGTGGCGGGCACAGAATAAGGACTTGGACCGGGATGAGACGTGCCAGGGGCTGGTGCTAATTTTCGATGGTCAGCCAGAAGGCAGTGGGAGATTTGGACATGCTTGCCATAATCAGCTTTTCACATTGACCTTTCTTAGCTGCTCACCAATTCCTCCATCCCTGCCTCCGTTGACCCAAACCGGGGGTCACATAGACCCGGATTTGACTCCTGGCTCTGCCACTTCTAGTTTGTACAGCCCTGGGAAAGTTACTTAATTTCCTTGAGCCTCAGTTTCCTCATTTGTTAAGTGGGGAGGTTCATGTGGACCCCACAGCTGGCTGTAAATAGTAAGTGTGATCACGCCTTCAAAGAGCCTATGACAGCACCCAGCACAGAGTCCGTGCTCAACAAGTGGCCGCCATGATTACTGCGATCCAGGCACCAGTATTTCCACTGCAAGGTTGGTGAGTGTGTGTGTGGATGTGTGACAAAAAGAAGGTTAACACAGTGTTCTAGAAAAAGGATGAATTCCTCTGAGCCTCCTGTGTGTGTCTGGGCAGTTCAGAGGTGCTGGACCACAGGGATGCTGGCATGGAGGGCCTCAAGTGCTTTTCTCTTGGGCGTGTCCATCTGGCTCAGGAGCTGTTCTGTTTCTAGACCTCGGTGCCCTCCCTGGGGTAGAGGACATTGTTCGTGTTGATGCTGTTGTAGAAATGAGGGCTGAATTGGTTGAGGACAGAGCCTCCATAGCCGAGAGCGTTGGTGGGCATGGGGTTGGCCCATTCGCCCCCGCCCCCGTGGCCGCTGAGGTTGCTGAGGGGGGTGTAGGAGCTAAAGTTCAGCAAGTTCTGTCCCATCTTGTCAGTGGGCTCAGGGCTCAGTCCTGGTGTGGCCACAGGGCGGCTCACGGGGCTCGACCCGCTCACATAGGGTGTCATGGTGGAGAGGAAGTTGTTGAGGCAAGGGGTGCCGGATGGCGGAGGGGAGGGCTGCTTCTCTGGGGAGCCGGTGGTGCCCAGGGAAGTGCTGTCCAGGATGTCCTGGGGCTCCGTGGTCTTGGGGCTGCCCACCAGGAAACTGGTCTCCGTTTTCTCTGAGCCCAAGGAGCCCGTGCTGGAGGAAACATCCGATTTTCTCTTCCTCTTCCTGCGGAAATTTCCATTATCGAACATCTTCTCACAGTTGGGGTCCAAGGTCCAGTAATTCCCTTTGCCTGGTGCAAAAGTGGGAGAAGGTAAGTAGCGAGATTGACAAGATGCTTTGCTTCTGTTCCTTTTTATTGTCATAAACTAAAAACAAAGGTAACAAATGCAGAAGACAGAGCACAAAAGGCAGGGACTGAGAATGGAGGAATTCCACCAACCGACCACACACCTCAGCACACCCACCTTCATTCAAGCACCCACCCCACACCCAGGCGCTCTGGGGGCACAGAGCAAGTGAGGCAAGCGGTGAAGGAGTTTACAGCGCAGATCTCTTTAAGAAGGTCAAGAACGGGGGATGGGGGGGGTTCCTCCAATGCTGTCCTGAAAGAAAACTCAGGAAAAAATTCAGGGCTCCCTTGGGCATGGAGTCTCAAGATGGACTTGAGTCCCGGCTTTGCTCCTGACTGACTGAGGGACCCTGGGCGACCCTCGGTTTCCTAGTCTGAAAAGTGGCCCCGTCGTATCTGTCCCTTCTTCCGCAGGCTGACGGTGAGAAAGGACAAATGTCCATGTGTAAAAGGGCCTTGTAACTGTGAGGTGCTGCCCCAGGGAAGCCTGCACTCTGCCTGCTCGTCTCTCCGCCTGAGGGGGAGGCCAGTCATTGGACAGGACGCCTGCCCTCCTCTGGGGGACAGACAGTCCCGCCCTCCCCAGCCTTGAAGGGGGCAGAGGTGGGGTCCTCTGAGCCTGACCCTGGCTTCCTGTGGTGGAACAAGAATGGACTTTAATTCTAGGAAATGGATACATGACTATATATCACTCTCTGCAGTCTCTGTATTTTAGAAATTCATCATTAAAAAGGAGAAGTTCACAGTCTTTGGTGTTGGATCTCCATTCAGATTCATGATCCATCACTATCACTTCATCTGTGTCACCCCAGGGGGGCTGTTTCACCTCAGTGTTATTTTCTTTATCTGTAAAATGGGTTTAATAAAAGCTACCCTGCAGGGGTGGATTACAGGGGATTACATAACAAGGGCAGGCAGCTCACTGTGGCCCTTAGTGGTTGCTCATCAAATGTCCCATCTCTTCCCAGCAGGCAGGACGCACCTGGGCATCGTCTAGTCCAATCGCCCACCCCCAAGGCCTTTCCATGAGCTGGGCGCTGGGGCTTCAGATTCATCACAGCAATTACTGCTTGCCCTGGAGCACTTGTTGGCACCCATTACCTCATGACCCTGCCACAAGCCTGCAAGGAGCCACCGTTACCATCCCTATTTTTCAGACAGGGAAACTGAGGCTCAGAGATCTAGCCTGCCCGGGGTCACTGACTGGTCAGCGGTGCAGCGAGAATGGAAACCCAAATCTGCCTCCAGGGCCCACGGTCTCCTTCACTGCTGACTCCCCTCAGCCCCCAGTCTTGGGAGGCACGGCCATATTCAGAGCTTTCTAGAATGAGGTTTCAGGGAGGAATGAAGTGAGCCTTCCTGGGACGTTGCTGAAGCAGTGGGCCTCCCCCACAGGGCTGGCGGCCTCCCCACCCGCGCTCGCAGCCCCCTTACCGGGGTCGTCCTCGTCGCGGGGCACCTTCTTGAAGCAGTCGTTGAGCGACAGGTTGTGGCGGATGGAGTTCTGCCAGCCGGCCTTGCTCTTGTTGTAGAAGGGGAAGTTGTCGGCCACGTACTGGTAGATCTGGCTGAGGGTCAGGCGCTTGTCGGGCGCCCCGTGGATGGCCATGGCGATGAGCGCCGAGTAGGAATAGGGGGGCCGCACCAGCTTCATCAGCTCCTCCTGCGAGGGGATGGGCAGCCAGCCCAGGTCGCCGCCCCCCAGGCCGGACATGCTGGGCAGCAGCTGCCTCTGCACCCCGTAGGCCTGGGGCAGGAAGGGGCTGGCGTTGGTGCCGGGCAGGTAGGGCGGCGGAGTCATGGCCGGCCCGTTGAGCCAGAGGTAGGGGTTGGGGGTGGCCCCGTACTCGCCACCTCCTTCGAAGGAGGGGGGCCGCTGAGGGCTGGGCACGCCCTGGGGGTGGAAGAAGTTCTCATAGTAAAGGTTCATCTCGGGGGGCTCCTGGCCGATGCTGGGGAACTGGGGGCTGCAGCGAGGTGGGGAGGGCGCCTGGAGGTCGAAGGAGCTCATGGTGCGGCTGGGCTGGCGGAGCCACCTGCCTGGCACCTGCACAGGGAGCTGTTCCTGACAGGTGCTCCGCAGGCCCCAGCCGCCCACTTATACCCCCGCGGGCTTGGCCGGCGGCCCCACCCAGGGGCGGCCACATGCGGCGGGCCCGCCCCGCCCTCCTCCGACGGCCGTGCCAAGGGGAGCGGGCCTCCCGCCGCCCCGCACGCCAGTGACGCGCTCAGAGCGGCGGCACAGCCGAGTTAGCACCGACGGGGGCGCCCCTCTCCGCCCCGGGCCCTTTTCCCTCTCCTCACTGGCTCTCCTCTTGCTCATCACCGCATTCTGTCTCATTTTGTCTCTCTTGCCTCTTTCTCTGCCTCTCCCATTTCTCTCCCCTTCTCTCTGCCCTGTCGTCCCCTCTGCATCTTTTTCTTTGTTTCTTTCCGTCTTTCTTTCCCATTTTCTTTCCCTTCTCTTTGCCTGTTATGTCTTCTCTCTCTCTCTCTCTCTCCTTTCTCCTCCTGCTTCTTTTCTGTGTGCTGCTCTGGCCACGTCTCCCTCCCTCACTCTCTCTCTCTGAGCTTGTTTCCAGCTCCTTCTACTTCTCTGTCTCCTCTCCCTCACTTCCTCACATCTCTGCTTCTCTCCGGCCTTCTGCTCTCTCTCTCTCTGTCTCACATTTTCTCTGTGTCTCGGAGACACATCCTCGGACTCCCTCTGCTTTCCCACCTGACCTTCCTTCTCTGCCCCCTCATCCTGACTGGGCGAGGCAGTTTATCAGAAGCCACATATTTTGTCTTTTGATGGAAGACACACTTTCTGGAGTTTCCAGGAAAGAGCCTGGCCCTGGAGAACAAGGAGAGCAGAGAGGCAGCCGGTTACAGAGAGCCTCCCTCCACACACACACACACACACACACACACACACACACACACACGCAAGCACGCACTGCAGGCACGCAGAGAAGGAGCTGTGCACAAGGTCCGTGGATTCTCCCAAAGGAGCAGAGCTCATAAAAATAACAACAAAGGAAGAGAATGTGAATGAGACTTCAGGGTAAAACACGAGAGAACTTGCACTATCCAAGTTTCTTTCTGGCTGCAGGGACAAGGCAGGTCCCAGCTCCTTATCTGATCAAAGTCCTTTCATGTTTCAGCTTGCAGAGGCCTGGGGAGCTGAGGGCAGGAGGAGAGCCCTCACCTCCTCGACTGGCCATTCCCCTCACCCCATCTCCGCCTCAGGCTCCAGAGGCAGGAGCTCCAGCCTGGCCCAGCTTCTCCGAGCCTTGTGGCCAGTCCCCCTATCTGGGCTCCATTCTCCATCTGTAGCTTGGAGATGACTTGTCATCCCCCGGGTGGGCCTTCAGCTTGGGGACTGGGTCCCCCTTCTCAGAGCATAGGCTGCTGTCCCCTGAGCAGCCTTCAGTAGCAGCCTGAGACTTCTCTCTGGGATCAGCAGTTAATATTTCGAGCCTCTCTGGTCACCATCCCTCCTACCCTCCCACCTCTACTTCCTTCTCCCCATTCAGCTTCCTCTCTTCCTCCAGACCCCATGTGCCTTTGAGGCCAGAGAAGGAGGTTGCCTACTGTCTCAGCTGGAGGAGGTGCTTCTCAGAGGATTCTCCCCTCCTCTCTCTGCTCCCCTCCACAGCGGCATCAGGATGCACGTAGGAAACCTGGACGCCATGGAATAAATCTCAGTGGCAGCATCTTGGTGACCAGAGGATGAGTTCAGGTAATTGGGTGGGAGGCATCCTCCCAGGCCCTGAGGAACCACCTGTCCCCGCCGTGGAACAGTGAAACAAGTGACTCTGAAAGGGCTTCAGTGCCCAGGTGAAGCACGGGGTAAGCACACTTTACACTTTTTTTCCAAAGAGGAAAGCAAAAGAGGCCACATCTTTGTTTAGAGTTTCTCTACCAGGCCTGGCTTGCTGAGGGCGGGTCACTGACTTTTCAAAGAACAGTCACATTGGAGCCCACCAGCACAACCCAAAGCCTTGCTGTGAACCTGGCAACCCCACTTCTGATAATTCATCCTATGGAATTAGAGCAAGAATTAGCTACAGGGGTGTCCACGATGGCATGATTTATAGCTGTACCAAACTGTAATTCACCTGAATGCCCAAAATAGGGGATTGGTTAAATAAATTGCACATCATCCAAATGATGAAATATTATGCAGCTATGAAAAAAATAGATTGTAGATTATTTAGTGATATGGAAAGATGTTTATGTTCTAATAATAATTATTTGGAGAAACAGGCTACAAAATTCCATGATTTTTGGAGGGAGTAAAAATATATATTCATACATGTATATGAAATATGTAAATATAAATACCAAACTGTTAATTATTATTTCTGGGTGGAGCTGTAGTTTGACTTAAATGATTAGAGAAAGGCAAGCACACTGGTGATTTGCCTTTAGGATTCCGTATAAAAGGCCAGCCAGAGGCCATGTAGAAGAGACGTAGCAGACACGGGCTCTGAGATCAGGAGGACCTGGGTTCAAATCCCAGCTTTGCCGCTGAATAACTGCAAACCTTGACAAGTGGTTTAACTTTCCTCGGCCTTGGTTTTCTCAGGTGAAAATGGGAATGACACCACTACTAAACTTGCATAGTTGCTGTGAGCATTCAACGAAGGGATTACCGTAATCAATGTAAGCATTTCACATGGTGCAGAGAAGCACTCAAAAATATCAGTTATTATTACATAGGAGAGCCAATGCACATGTGATATGTACAGTCCATCCCTGAGTTTGCTACCTCAAGAGTTAATCGTCCCCTCTCAGTAGCCTGCAGGGAGGAGTGAGGAGGGGGGTGACAATGGAGGAATGGAGGGAGGAATACTCAGTGCAGACACGGATTGTACACCTACCATCTGCAGCTGATGGTCAGAGAGGCCCCGAGTCACATGACGAGTTCACGACTGAGCTGGGTCAGGACCCGGTCTCCCAACCCCCTCTTCTGCCCTCTGCCTGTTGCTGGGGTCTCCTTCCCAGAGGTGTTTTTTGAGGAATGCTCACCTGAGCCGCCCTGTCGCACCTGGGCCCTTGTTCTTTCCCCTGGAAATCAGAGAAAGCCTGGCCTGTCTTGGGAGGCCATGCCCACCTGGAGCCTCTGGCCTCCGGAGTCTGTGGCTGGGATCACAGGCTCTCATGCCCTCCCCGCACCTGGCCACAGCGTCAGGCTGGGGGTGCCCCAAGCATCCCCAGAGGCCCTCACTGCAGATTTTCATGAGCACCGCCTGTTCTTGGGGTAGTAACAAGAGCTGTCTGTTCCTACTCCCCAGGGGAGGGTTGAGAGTTATATCCCGGAGGCCCCCTGACCAGTCCCAGGGCCTCTGGGAAAAGAATCAAAGGTCTCTATAAACTAGGGTCCTTTTGTAGATGAAATTATTTTAGGCTTTTCCTATTTTAGGAAATTTCCCAGAAGTGGCAGTCCAAACCTGAGAAGATAACGGCCCGCTCAACTTGAGGGGAAAAGATGGAAAGTCAGGCTCGTGGGGGCTGAGCCAGCCTAGACAGAGCTGGGGCTGCAGTTTGCATATTACAGCACAGAGGGAGGCCTTGATTGAGAAAGACCATACATTCTGAACCCCAAATGGGGATATTTGAGATGAGGCAATAGAACCTGGAAAACATGGGCTCGGGTGTTGGGTGGAGCTGGGTTCAAATCCCTGCCTTGCTAATGGCGGCTGTGTGATCTTGGCCACATTTCTTAATCTCACAAGGCCTCAGTTTGCTTATCTCTTAAATGGAGCTGCAAACAGAACCTGTCTCGTGGATATTGCTGGAAAAAGGAATGTGATATATATAAAGTGTAGAGCCCAAGATCTGGCAAAAACTGCTGCTGACGAGGATGATGATGATGGCTGCCTGGGTACCAGAGGACAGGAATTGACGGGGAGGTGGCTGTGGGCAGGAGGCCCAGCGTAACCCTCCTCCAGCCAAGCTTTTACCATTTGCTCTGCCCTTGGGAAAACCTTGCCATTTGGGGGTGCTGCCCGGGGAAGGAGGGAAGGCCTGCCACCCTCTGGAGTATGTGCCCAGCAGTCAGCTGGTGTGCACTGCCGGGTCCAGAAGCCCAAGCTGGCTCAAGGGCTGCAGAAAGGGTGAATGTGCACAGGCCCCACCCAGACGGCAGCCAGCCAGGACCACCACCTCTGGCCTTGACTTTCAGGGGGTAGAGGATGCTGTGAGGAAACAGGCAGGGGAGGGTGAACAGCCAGAGACACAGGAGGCGGGTGGGATCTGAAGTGGCTGCTACTGCATCACGGGACAGTGGGGGCACAGAAAGCTCAGGTTCCGGGTCTCCATCCTGCCTCTGCTCCTTAGGTGCTGTCGTTCCTCAGATAGCAAGCGATGGTTCTGGGCCTGTTTCCTCCTCGTCTGTAAAATGGGGAAACCCAACTCCCCTCGAGTGTTGCTTTGGGGAGTAAGTGCCAGGCGTGTAGCATGTGCTCAGTAAACGTGAGCTCTCATTAGGGACCAGGGAGCCCAAGGGTGAGGGAGAGGCTGGTGGTCTGCCAGCTGGGGCTGCCACATCCCCCTGCTTGTGGATCTTACCTGCCTCCCCCCGCCCCATTCCCCTTTGATAGGGGCTTGGCTTCCTGGGCTCTTCTTTCCACACGTAAAACACAAACAGCCTCTGACTTCCAGGGTTTCCGGGAGCCTGATGGTGGAAATAGGCTGGGATGGGGAATCAGGGGATCTGGGACTAGTTGGAATCTATCTGAAACTCTCTGCCCCACAAGTTTCCTTTCTGTAAAATGGGGAATAAGATACCGCAGTTCTCCCTACTGTCTAGAAATGGTTCTCCATGGACGGCAGTGAGCTGTTATCTGAGCTTCCTGTCCTGCTGTGTCTTGTGTACTTTGCAGCCTGTCATGGGCTGGCTTCTCAGTCCTGACTGTGGGCTTCTAGGAAGTCTGGCCGCGCCGTCAGCCAGGCTGAAGCTGATCTTGGTGATCTCTGCTGCTTTTTGGCGTCTGGTTGCGCTGGCGAAACCTAGGCTAACACCGCCGTCTGGTGGACGTCTTTTTAAAAGCAGGAGCGGAGTGCAGCGACATTTC